CACACAATGTCTCATTACCGGAATATTGGTCAGGTTTCGAAGCGATCACGGGAATTATGCCCTTTTTTGCTGGTATTATGCCCTTATATTATGAAGGTATTATGCTTCACGAATCACGAGAGCGGCGCAAATTAGATAGTTATGATAATGTAAGTTGTGTAGGCAATTTAGTTGTTTGTGCAAGAAACATCATGACTCATGAGTAATGTAAGTGATAAGATAATGCTGAAAAGCGCCCTTTTGGCAGCCAAGCAAGGTAACCTTAAAGTGCATATGCATGGGGTCCTTGTGTTATTGTATAAAAGAGCTGTATGTTGTAAATGTATTCAGATCACCAGATCAGTAGAGAATAGAATTGGGATTAGATTAATCGCTGGAACTGAGTTAGCATTGCCCAATTTAAGAACTACTACTATATATAATTCTAACCAAATTGCAAATTTCAACACGTTATAATGCCGTTTCCTGACATCAGATTTCTGTCAAACCTTCCCCCAAAGTCCAGGAAATGGCATTTCAGAGACCCTAAATTCAAAAATTTTCCGAGGGGGCATGCCCCCGGACACCCCTAGAGAAACCTCGCACCTGCGGCGCTCGGCTCGTGCCTTCGACACTCGTTTATCAAGCATTACAATATAGGGGCGCATATTAGTTGAAAGCCAACTGGCCCCCCCAGAAAATTAGTACCCAGCACGCCACTGTTACGAATCAGTTTCCACCTAATATGAAAAAGTAAAAAAGGAAGCCTGCCTAAATAACTGACAACTGTCATCTTGCTTTACAATACATTTTAGTCTTTAGTGTGATGCAACGAATAAAAAATTTCCAATCTATGCCGAAATTTGTCTAACTGTATTAGGTACAAGTAATGAGGTATCCGTTATACAGCAAGATGTTAACGAGCATTGCCCCTCCCCCCTCCCCCACACAAAAATTAAAGCTCAATAGTAAGTGCCCTTTTCACATGGCTGCCCCCGCCGCTTCATGTCGCTTCCGGCGCCCCTGTGCTTCTGGTATATATATGTAGACGATTGGAAACTGGCCAAGCTAATCCCAATCTATAAGTCCGAGAATTGGAAAAAATGTGAAAATTATCGACCTACTTTACCGATAATAAGTAAAGTTTTTGAAAGCGAAGTTCAATCCTATGAATATTTAAATAAAAATGCTTTATTTTCGGAATTTCAATGTGGATTCCGACTCAAATATGGAACGAACGCCGCACTTCTAGAGATATGTGATCAGTGGCTGAGTGACATGGAGAAAGGGGAGTTAAATGCATGCATGGAGTTGCATTTTTTAGATAAGCAAAGCATTTGATTTTATAAACCACAAAATCCTCTTGGAAAAGCTCAAAGATCAGTTTGCAATCCGTGATAATTAATTAAACAGCTGGTTTGCATAATTGCATCATATGTACTTGAAAGATAGGATGCAAGTATATGTTTTTTTCAATGGGAGAACATCTTCACCTAAGAAAATTGTATGTGGAATCCCTCAAGGCTCGATTTTAGGGTCATTGTTATTCTTATTATAAGTAAACGCATGCTTTGAGGGAAATTAGTGATTAAATGTCCCCGCAAGCCTCGGGAGGTTTAGTAAAAGTCCCTCGGGCGACGCCCTCGAAACTTTTACTAAACCTCCCGAGGTTTGCGGGGACACTTATAATTACTAATTTCCCTCAAAGCATGCGTTTAGTTTGTAAATGCGTTTAGTTTGTTTAGTTTAGTTTTTTCCGATTCGGTTTCTTTAATTAAATCGTCGCCGTCGGATCACTGGAAGCGAACTGAAAGACTCGTCTTTGCAATTACAAAGAAATTCTCATGCAAAACAAAAAGCTTGAGTAATCTGTTGTCCCAGGGGTATCCTCAACAACGTTGTCATGCTGAATACAACATTAAACTAAGATTTTCACGTCATTGGACTATTGGAGCAACGTGTTGCGACATTGGGGAGTTACAAAAATTCTGTCTCATAGGATCTCATAGCAGACACCGGATCGTTTTTCCCGAACTTAGCCGTTTCGGGAAGAACGACTCGGTGTCTTCAATTTATTACAGGAATCGATGCATGTTGAATAAAGTTATACCATTTCGGTCGAATATATCGATATATGCTTTTATGTCTTGGGAATTCCAAAAATGTACAAAACAAAACAAAACATTATTGAATGTACGAGATCTCAATCCTGACTTTGCTAGAAAAATTTTTCTCGATCTCGATCATCCTAGAGAATTCTTAGTCGACCGTCCTAGAAAATTCTCGACCGTCCTAGAAAATTCTCGACCGCTTTTGTCCATTGACATTGTGGCTTTCCATATGAAACTGCGTAGAAGTTTTCTTCATACATGTGACTGTGGCGAAGTTATAATCGTCTGATAAAAATCTAGAAAACTGTTTATATATGTTCCGATTTCCGAATAAGTAATAGACCAAGTGAAGAGCAGGACGAAATTGGTAAGTAGTACAGAAAATTGTGGTCCAGAAAATTTAACGGTAATTGGCATCATGCCAGTCAAGCCTCGATGATATACATCACGGTAGCCGACAAACTCGAGCCGAAGCTAGGCGCGAGTTTGTGTATCCAATACAACTGTGAAGGACACGATACAGTCGTTTTCTTCAACAATTTAAAATTAATGATAATTATTTATTGTTTCTTAAAAAGTGCCAGCACCACAGTCTTTAGGGGGGCAGACCATTAGAAAAGTGATTGGGGAGGGGTGAGATGGGGGGGGGGGGCTAAAAAAAGTTTGCATAAAGGAAAACAAAAAAAATTCGTGCAATAAAAAAGAAAGCAAATAAAATACCTATACGGCCGAAAAAAATTCATGCAAGCTGAAAATCCCCCCGCCCATCTCAGCTAATTTATACGTCACCTAATTCACCAAACTTTCAGGCCAACAAGCCAGCATCATCAACTTCCATCACACCAAATTTCATGAGCCTAAGTTTGTGCTTCTATTTTCATTTCTAGTATTTATAGAAAGCTAGTATAGCATCAAATTTTAAATCGATCTTCGATTCGAAAACCGTGATCATGGTCTATATTTTGGTTTGCCTGGTAGTGGATTGTATCTGAAGTAACCGTTTTTTAACCTTGGCTATAGAGCCTCGTTTTCGTGATTGTGACGTTAGCCTTTAGGGAAAGTACATTTATTACACCGAGGGAGGGGGATGAAGATGTCTTGAAAAAAGCTCATATTTTTACAGGGCCCCTGTTCAGGTTATCGGTAAATTTCGATGCCCCCCCCCTCCAAGTTTTTAAAATTTTCAATGCCCCCTCCTCTAGAATTCGGAATCGAAGGAGTACAATCCGGAATTCTCTCTTATCATAGATACAATTTGCAGTTCCTCAACATGTCTGATATACTCAAGTGCTTCTCCTCAACAAAACTACCGATCTGCTGCTTCTTTCATCTCACTCGGGCCAGATGAAATGGCACCGTCTTTAAAACATTTTAAATTGGCTCTAGGGGTGGAATTATCAACAGGTTGTTGTTGTCCATCATTCAGCGTATTCGGAGTCTTGAACACGTTCATGTAGTGGCCAGGATTTCCTGGATCAGGGTGATGTGCTGGAACCTTACAGTATGTTGCCCCCACCCAACGTATCTCCCGGCATCTGTTGCAAATGTCTTTGCATGCCTGTCAAAAATGCATGCAAAAGTGCCAGTATGCTTCAATTTCTTTAATTTCCATCCCGTTTGCACGAAATATCCCATAAACATAGAACATATCATTCTTGCAAATTGTATATGCTTTTTTGCTTTTTGGCGCGTAAATTACTTCACAAACCTGGCGCAAAAAAATTTAAAATAAGCTGTTGGTGATTTCATGTATCTATTTAGAAGAGCAGACTAAGGATATCTTAAAACTGAAATCGGTTTCGAATACAACCATCTGGGACGTAGCAAAGCATCTGACGTTTGGGGTGGGGGATGTCAGAGGATTATACGTGTAATATTTATAATAAAGCTTTTTGTGATTGATTGGCACTCTTATACTAAGTTTTGGGAGAAAAGGGGGGTCTGGGGGTCCTCCCCCAGAAAATTTTTACATTTTTGAAGCTCTAGGACTGAATTTCTGGCGTTTTCTAAAGCAAATTTTGCAAACAAATTGCATGTAAATTGACTGTATTTTACAAAAATGGTTATCATTTCACAAAAATAATTACTTTATTACGCAAATTTTACCTGAAACTGATGTAAAAATTTTAACTTTAATTTGCTGGGGTCAAACCTTTGAAAAGTTTAGAGCCCCCCCTTCAGTATATCAAGAACTTTCAGAGCCCCCCCTTTAATGCCAGAAATACTTAACCGGGGCGGTATTAGCTTTTCGCAAGTATTAGCTTGCATAGCAACCTGATGTCCTGATCATCGGTTGTGCAAGTCAAAGTATTGAAATTACGTCGCACCTAACCGTGCTCAGTCGCACTTGATTTCTAAGCCTCAAACATAAAGTAAGGAAGTCGTCATTTCCGGGGAGAGGAAAGCAAAGCCTTTGTTGTCTGTGACGTGTTGACCATCATTCTACATAACTAAGCCCCGTTTACACTACGCTCAATTTTTGGTACGGCACGGATAAAATTGGTACCCGTAAAAAAGTGGTATACATATATATATATATATATATATATATATATATATATATATATATATATATATATATATATATATATATATATATATATATATATATATATATATATATATATATATATATATGTATGTCATATAGCTATCTATGACATATACATCTGTGGTTGTTGGCACTGCCGTTGGTTGGCGCAGTGCCGTGGAAACCATTTTTCCGAGTTCAGCATACTTTTGATTTTCAATTTTTAACTATTCGTAGAGTTCCATGCTATCACGGGGAAATTGCCGACATATTTAATATTAAACCTAAAATAAATATTAAACAAAGACGCCATTTTGCCCGCCCACGACATTACGACAATTCATTCAATGTTTATTCGGGCTATGACGTGCCAGTCGACAGGCGAACGATCGTCACTCGACATTTCTCGAGCAAAATTGTTTATCGTGTGTAATATATTTGCTTGGTCTTCGTCTCATCGATCGTTGTTCATTTTATTTCAGCTTGTCTGCAAGGTATTTTTACTATTTTTAAAATTCTCAAAACAAAGAAGTTCTTCGTAAATTCTAGGCCTTTCTATCGGGTGATAATATTTAATTGATTTTCAAATACAATATTTTGAACGAGCATCATCGTGTCAAACGAGACAAATTGGAACAACACCGGTGAGTATGTTGTACTATTAAACAAGAATACACAATCAAAGTAAGAGATTAAGTATTAGACTGGGTTTTATATTATTTACTATACGTTTCTTGGTAGTAATTTTTCATTTCATTTGTGTTTATGCATTCGTCATAATTGTGATTAATGCAACTGCCTAAAATGACTCGTGTACTTGACTCGTGCCACTTCAGGCTAGGGCAGGAATTGATTGTGGTTGTGTTTCTTTTCCAGCTTTTTGCGATCATTTTTTGCACGAAGGGAAGTCTTTGTTCGACGAAAGGACTCTGTGGTTGGATATATACTCCCTTTCTTTATACTCCGGAAGTCAGGCAAATATACCGTATTCAATTTATTCAAATTTAGTATTAGAAATCCTTGACCAAGCGTCGGTGTTCAACGTTGAAATTGGTCGCATTTTGTAGCTATTTCGAAGTAATCTGGGAATTGTCATGAATGGCTGTGTCTGTGTTCATGGTCAAGACGTATTAAACAGAAATCCATTCTATCCAATGGCCAAGAATGATACATCATCATCTATTCCGAATGGCGATGAGCCATCATCACCTTGCCGAGACGAAATGTTCTCTGTCAGATCAAGAATTTTAAAGACACCCGCAAAGAACAGTAATGCATCTGTATGTAATGGTACTAATGGAGATTTAGACAATTATATAGGAGAAGAAAGTAGTGGGGTGTATTTTGCAAAAAAACTTGATGAGGTGGAACAAAGAATATCAAAATTGTGTTTTGCTGTTCAATTACAAATGTGGGAGAACAGCCCCCCTGAGGAAGGTATGTTTAGAATAGGAAGTCACAATTTACCAACTGTAAAGCCCTGGTCAAACAAGGGAGTTGACAAGAGTTGGCAAGTAAGTGTTTGTTTGACTCTCATGCCCCGGTCAAATGAGAACAAGAGTAGCATGACAGTTGATGAGAGTTGACTGGATATTACCATTCATGGCAAGGACTCTCATCAATTCTCATTAAAATTTAAACCAGCTCGAAGTTGATGAGTGTTGATGAGATATCCTTGTTTGGCCTGGGCTTAAGTGATGTCAATAATATTTCAATGCATGCACAAACTATGAGGCACAAGTAATACAATTTGGTTCCATAATTCCATGTATTTTCATCATTAAAAGATACTATATCCTGGTTTCGGTCTGAGCTTTGGTACACATGTGAGGTGCCACAAATATGCAATAGTGCTTTTGGTTACCTAGACTAGTTGAAAAATAACTGGTTGGATACCAAATATTGTTTTTAAAATGTTCAGATTTTCTTTTCCTGTCAAGTAATAAATTAAATTGGTCATAAAGTAGGGGTATTCTACATATTTCAACTTTAAATGATTGGAAATAAATTTACAGCTGATGAATATTGTTGAATACATGGGAAGCTCACCCGAGTGTGATCTGCATGCTCTTTGTTAACACATATATAGTTCAGTTTGCATTCATATGAAAAACAAGCCTAGTGAAATCTCATGGTCTCAGTCAAGTGGGATGAAATTTTCAATATGAATGCACTTGACTGGGATGGATGTTTCTTGCCAATTTTGACCTATAATGTAGTATTGGACAATATAGTTGGAAAATGCAAGCAAGAAATAAACATTAGACGTGAACAGACACTACTGGTATTAAAGATGTAATACAAGGTTTTTGCAATATTTCAAAGACGTCATGTTTAAAAAATTGTAGTGGGACATTAGGTTTGATAGAAACAGAATTCATCCCACTCAGGTGAACTTCTCTGCAAACTGTGTTCATATGAAAAATCCCTATTGCATAATCGCAAAACATGCTTGCAAAACCTTTCTCAGGTGTTGCCCTGACAGAAACCAAGGTGCTTGATAAATAGTACTCCTAATTCAAGGAGCTGTTTCCATGCACCTACTAAAACATTCAATAATATGTCTGCCTCATGTATTGTACAGTACTTATTACATGGCTGCTTGTACAGTAATAATGCTTAACATTTCTTGTCCAGACCATGTAGGCTCAACCGAGAGTCTTTCCAGGGAAGGCCTGCTTTCTCCACAAAAGCTCACAATGTAATTTCAAAAGCATGTTAAGTAATCCCATGTTGGACTCCTAAAAAACAGCCAAAATTTTCCTACAATCATTTCAATTATGGTAAACCTCTTTTGTACAATTGTACCATTATATACCAAATACTGTACCTTAACGTTTTTAACCTTAAAAGAAGGCCAGGGACTGTGTGGATAATACTGTATGAAGATGCATGTTAGATTTTCATACAGTATTAATTCTGGTAGATGTTTGTGCAATATCCTGGTATATTACCACACAATTCTATGTGCATGTTTCTTATAAAAACTGATATAAGCATGCAATGGCTACCAATTGCTTGCTTTCAATATACCATAGTTTTGGCTGAGAAATGTATGTGTTTTATGGCTGAAACACAGATCTATGTTTAAATTTACAGATCTACACAGTTCTATTGAAGTGTGTGTTATGCTGAACATTAAACTTATATACAGCAATGGTATCATTGGCATACATACTGTACATTAGAATTTGAGTTGTCTACCCTGTCTCCCAATTATTTTGCAGCTGCAAATTTTATTTCACAAACTATTTTTATCACTTGGCACTTACATACTTCAACACTCTCTTCAATGTCCATCAACAACTAGAGTTTCTACAGCTGTATGTGTGGTGTTTGAATGTTTGCAAACTTTCACATGTCTACAAGATTGTTTTGTGTAATTGGGATCCAAGAACTGGAATTTACTCCAATTAAAAGGGTGGATCCGCCCAGGCTTTCATGGTTGAAAAACCTTTTGCTTTCATTGCTAGCCGGCTATCTTTTAGTGACACACACTGTATGCATGATATTGATTTTATATTTCACACCTTTTTAACCATTTTCGTTTTTGTATCAATTATTCATCAGAACTGTATATGCATGGGAGCAGTAGCCTAACTGTATGTTTTCTTGTTTTTATTCAGTTAAGGGTAAAATAAGAGCTGCAACTGGAAAGGCTAGACTTCTTTTGTCAAGCAAATTTAAGCAATTTAAAGACTTATGTGACCTGAATGCAGTAAGTAAATATTTTTCTAAATTTACTAAAAATCGCTGCTGTACATGAAAATAGACATAAATAAATTGAAAGTATTGTACTTATTAAGTTATCCTATGTTTATTTTGGTGCATTGTACTGAGTACTCTTTTTTACAAATGTCTTCTAATAAACCATTGAAAATTTGGCCCATAAGCTCAGTCTGTTAAATGCTAACAGGATTTTTTTTTGAAGGGTCTAATAACTTCTACTGATGGAAAAATACCAACTAAGACTGATTTAGAAGGTTTTTGGGATCTAGTTATGCTTCAGGTTTGAAACTATAGCCTAGTACTGTATTCTATACCCAATTAAATTCCACGTTATTTTTATGTGCAATTTTGTGGCCAATATTTTTGTCACTGATGATTATTTTAATTTGCTTCTTTTTTGCATTTTACAAAAGTAATGAAGTTTTTAAAATCCTTTTAGGTTGTAGATGTTGATTCTCATTTTGAAAAGATTGAAAAATTGCGAAAAAATAATTGGATAGATGTAGAACCTGAAGAACCTAAGGTATGTAAACAAGAGTACTGTGAAGATAGTCAGGGACACCGGAACTGGGGAGGGCAGGAGGGGCAGCCGCCCCCGTTGCCCTTTACCAGGAGGGGCAAGGGGGCAAAGGTGCCCTTTCTGCCATTTCAATTTAAAGGATTGCCTTAGCGAAATAGCAAATTGTCAGAAATGTTAGTGCAATTCTTTTACGAATTTGCTTCAGAAAACGCAAGAAATGCAGTCATCCAGCTTCAAGAATAGCACAATCGCCTGGCGGAGAACTCCCTCACACCCCTATCATCCAATAAATAGAAAACATGATTAGGCGAAGTTCAACTCCTGATGTTTTACAAACATCTCTTAGTATATATCAATTCAAAAGTGCCCTTTCACGAAAATCTGCCCCCTTTGCCTTCACATCGTTCCGGCGTCCCTGAAGATAGTGATGAATTTCAAAGTGATTTTTCAACTTTAGTAAAAATGCCTAAAAAGATGAAAAACTATGGATATTTAATACTAAACTCTAATCTTGGTTATATAATCAATTATAAACTTTAGCAAGTTTGTCAAAATCACGATCTAGTGATTAGTTTTATCTAACCCTCGTACAAGTGACCCCTGGTTAAGCCTGGCGCACATTAGGGCTATGTTTTTAGCAATATTTCACTTGTGACTACTTGCATAAGTATAAATTCCCCAAGTGTGCATTGACGTTTTGAGACTTTTTCTTCACGCGTGCCATCGGCGCCGAATATTCAACATGTCGAATAATTTTTAGTACGAGTGACGATTTCTTCTAAGTCTGCGCACAGGGAAAGCAAACCGCTTATACTGTAATATGCGAATACGTATGCGTATTCGGCAACGACAGCACCAACCACGCCAGGTTCCATATACAGGCTCCAAAGCGTGTTTGGGAGAGAAGTGGAAGTAGAGAGCCTGGCTAGGCGAGGTTGCTACAACACTACTCGCCGACATTTTGATTTGTAAGACGCGAATAATACGCATGTGTATTCGCATAATATTTGAAGGAAATCGTCTCTCGTGCTAAAAATTATTCAACATGTTGAATATTCAGCGCCGATGGCACGCGTGAAGAACTCAAAACGTCTCCGCACACTGAGGGAATTAATTTGCTTACTTAAATAGTCGCGAGTGAAATGTTGTAGTGTGCGCCGGACTTTACGTTTGATTCTGATAAACATGATCACCAGAGATTTATAGTCCACTGAAAATTTTCAAACGTAGTTTCTGATTAGCTTAAAAATCCAATAAATATATTACATTATCGTATATTTATCAATAAATTGAGCTGGTTTTGGTCGGAACTACCTGACCCAAACAACGATACAGTAATTTATTTTAGAATAGAATACTAAGCTAACTCCATGGACCCTCAAGTTTAAGATATCTTCTTTCTAATTTCGCAAAAAAATTATGATATATAGACACCAAAAAGTCCTACGCCAAAAGGCGGCAAAATTTCTCCGAAGAAAAAGAATTCACAGACCAGGGCAAATGCATCCTCTAACTCCGCAAAGAAATCTTCAAAAGAAGGAGAAGCTAAGAAAAGACAAGAAGCAAGAAAGCGGTTGGCGGAAGCCAAGAAAGCAGCCAGAAAACGACTTGTACAAAGTCCTTCTAGTGATGGTGGAGACGTTATAATATGCTCCACCCCGCCAAGAAAACCAGAATCGTAAGGTTTCTAACATAATATTATAGCGGCTGCATGGCTGCGTCATGCACCTTGCTTGGTGCGATTTTATCTTAATTTTATTTGTTTGCTTGTGAGCAATTTTGCTTGGACAGCACAATTTTCTGCACACACCAAAAGTAAACAATCCTGGTTAATTTGCAGTGTTAGGTAGGAAAATTACAGCGCGCCGAGGCGCTGTGAGGGAAGTACAGTATACGTTGCCCAGTCAGTTTTCACAGAAAATAATTTTTTGTCTTAAAAAAATTCCCTAAAATTTGGAAAAGATTCGAGTACACTTGCCACATCTATTAAGTGCTGTTTTTGTCCTGATTTTAAACCTTTTGGAGGTATAACGTGCAACTCGCCCCCCCCCCCTTTCCCACGCGCTAGCATGTGTAGGTCTCAGAGCATGACTATAGTCAAATAAAAGTCCCTTATAGTCTCGCCACTGATTGCCCTGACAATTTTTTACTTCATCACACAAACTAACAAATAAAAATGAGATTGCAACTTAGTGTTTCCCAATCATCGAGATGATTTTTTATTCAATTACAGTATGTGTTCTATCCTGAAAAGAGAGTTATTTATACTGTGAGGGTAATAAATATGTTTTTTGCTGCAGTGAAAGCGATATAACTGTAGCATAAAGGTGGTTTTCACTATCAATATTTCTGTGATCCCAGAAGTTTTGAAGAATTTGTAAGACTGAATGTTTGAGAAAACGTAGAATTTACCAATGTAAAATTCGTACTGTGATCACAGAAACTTTGCATGATAGTGTAAACCAACCTGAATATATTATAGTGTATACAATAGATCACGAGGGTGTGATCATATAGAGTATTTTATAAATTCCTATACGGAGAATATATAAGTTTTTTGCACATCTTGCACGGGGTGGGGTATACTCGCGTATATCGATGACTTGGAGGTGCGTATATTTTCGATGTGTAATCGGCGGACTTACTTTGTTTCGAAAGGACCTTTTTAGGTTGATTAAAAGCTTGACTGGCCTCCCCACTTTAAGCTAAAAACGTAGTTTATTGTCATATACTGTACTAGTCTTAAGTCGGTTCGTAGGTCGACTTGACATCAAATGGCACGTTCTGTGTTCTGTGACCGGAGCGTTCTGTGTTCTGTGAACGAGGTCGTCATAACATGTAACAGGTCGTTATAAGATTTCAAATGCATGGCAAACTGTTGGACTGTTTTATCATCCACTCGTGTTTTATAATAAAACTGTCAATATTTATACTAAGATATTTTGTCTTAAAGGAGAGCAGCTGCAAAGCATGCGAAAACTAATTGTCGATTGCATGTTGAAATGAAAATTGCAGTTCTATAATGATGATTGAACAGTGGAATACCTTGATATCCAAACTCAGCTGCATGTCATGACGATTCAACCGCATCCTTTTCCCGACGCAAAACGCGTCATTTGGATGCGCATTCGGCAGTCCAAACCTCCCAGTCGGAGCTAGAGTACACCCCACCCTAGCCTGCGTAGCAGGCGTTCATTAATTTGCTTGCGGGCGAATAAACGCTTGCTACGCAGGCTAACCCCACCCTGATCGCACGTGTCAGCAGATTGATCAGATATCTATATTAAGAACTTTATTTTAAATTTTATCATATGAAATTTTGTAGGTTATTATAGTATGTAGGTTGCTGGTATATTGTGCCAGTACACGCAAGGATTGTACTGCAAACAAAAACACAACGAGAATATAAATCTTAAATATTTCGGGCTAATATTGCCTTGCGCTGAGGGCCAGTTTATATGGTCTGGCTTTGCCGAGTTGAGAGGTGTGATAATTTTGATGAAGGGTGTACTGAAATACATCACGGTTCGTTATCGAGAGGAATTGTGGTTTTCTTAGCTTGTATAAATTGCAACATATTCCGCGAAAATGGATAATAATTTTACTGGATGTAAGTCAAACGATGTGATCATCTGCTGGCAAAGCTGATCATATAAATAATCCTCGAAGTCATATGGAAAATAATATTGTATTTAAAGACAATACTTATAATAAAATTTTATTTATAATCAATAATGTCTAATAAGTCTTGTTTGTTTTGAATCCCATACAATCTCTGTACTCAGGTACCGTGGTTGGTGTTTGAACCCCTATGTCAGGCGTTTTTATGACGCATCCTGATGAAGTATGACGATGTGTTTTCGCTCCGAATCTTTTTCTGGGCGTTCACACGGGACCTGATGAATTCGGAACCGTGCTCAAATTTGTAGCTAATTCTGAATTACCGTACGTATTTCTCGTGTGCCAATGAAATCGGACGAACTGTGTATGGATATTATGGTTTAACCGTCAAAACTCGTTAACTGGCTAACTGCACATTTTCCACCTTTTCCCCTATTTTTTATCGAATTTGAATGAATCTAAAACTTAACACTCTGAAAAACATTGCCCCCCCCCCTTGCCGGTGCCACTGTTGGAGGCCGGCTCGCTTGTAATACGATATATCTATTGTAACTAAAGAGTTTGATATGGAGGATGGGGGGGGGGTGCATACTCCACTGTTTGGGGTGTGAGATAAATATATTTATCCCCACTTGCTTTCTGTACAATTCATGGTACGTGTTAATAATAATAGTTTTTAAGCGTCAGTTGTGGTTGGACTGACATCATTTTGTGATTTCTTAAAGACTGGCATAAATTTTGCCAATACGGCACATGCCTCCAGGTGTCCAGCTCCGTCCCCCCTCACAGAGACCCAAAATGGCCAGAATTTTACCAACGGATATTGAAAAGGAAAATGAATTAATTTCAGAGCTCATACCAAGGAATTCTACTAGCCAACGCCACTGGCGTGAGTGACTCTGACCAGATTTGGTAAAATATTTTATGATTGTGGTGCACTGATCCAAAATATCCGTGCAAGATGAAGTAACACAGTTCAGTAACAACCGCTGGAAAACAGTGGTCACATTGCTGGCGCGGTGCCGCCACTGGTGGCGCCAATTTTAAAAGAAAATATGGCAGATATATCTTGTTTGGTTAAGATAAAAAGCTAAAATGTGATCATTTTGCTGCCAGTGTATGATAAAATGGAGGGAGAAAGAATACTACAGAAAATTTTGAAGGGAGAGTCGCGGCAATTTCAAGATTTGAAGGTTTGTATCTTTTAAATTGTTGAATACTTGAAATATAAACGCCATCTTCAATGCAATATCTTGATTTTATTGATAATTTTGTGACGTCGTTTGCAGAATTACACGGCCCCTTTCGAGAAGATCTTAGATGGTGATATATTGAAATGTATTGGAAAAAAGGCTACTGAGTATGAAAAATTGTGCAAGTATGGTTCTTTCTGTATGAAATTGTTAAGATACTGTATTGAAGCTATATCCAAAGGCAAGAAGCAAGCAAATGGGAACCAAATTCAAGAGGATTGCTTCAAATGTGCTATTTTTGGTGAGTTTATTCCCAGTGTACCCAATTGATAAAAAATCGACCATCGGAAATCCAATCGATAAATCAGTGACAATCAATGCCAATTAGTGAATTGATATGGATTGTTTATATTGGGCAATCATCCAGTCGATAGTCACAAAAAACTTGGGCCAGTTTCATCAATTAGGCCACTATTTGTTGCATATTAGTTTCTCATCCAGGGCTGTCCCCAAAGCTGATGCAGGTGGGCTGCCATTGCCATTATGCCATGATGTAGAGTGTCACCTTTAATACCAGGGTTCGTACAGGTTCTGGAAAAACTGGAAAGTCATGGAATTTCAATATTCCAAAATCCAGGCCTGGAAATCCTGGAAAATCAATTTTAGTCATGGAAAGTTATGGAAAATTGAAATTTTATGAGTTAACGAAGTATTTTACTTATTTCAATTTACCAGTCATAACAATAATATGAATTGTTGTTATATAGCAGATTTTTGCAAGAGCGAAGTGAATTTTGTTCTTTTATTATATCTGTTATCGTTAGAAATTCCAGACTTCCAGGTCATGGATTTTGAAAAAAAATGGTCATGGGAAGTCATTGAAAAGTCATGGAATTTTAAATGGGAGAAAGTGTACGAACCCTGTAATGTGCATGCTCGTACAATTTTCTGTTAAAATTTTCATTGATTTCCAGTACAATATTAAAATGTGAAGCAATGTGTTGCTATTTTAGCTTCAAAAAAGCATCTGAGGCAGAAAAGGATGTATTTTGCAAATGAATATATGTAAAATTTAACTTTGATTTGTGACAGTTGTAATAATGGTCGAAAATGCTAATAATAGCCATCAAGGCGGCTGCCTAAAAAACTGTTACAAAGTTGTTCATCCAATGAACATATAGGTGATGGGAATGTTAAAAGCATTTTTCATTCCTATCACCTATGATGACAGTCGCAGGCATAGAGTGTAAAGGTCGCCCAGAAATAAAAGGCAATCACATACAATCAAAGTAGGCAAGTAAATATAATTTTAAAATATAAAATTCATTACAAATTTTACTGTGTAGTATATTCAGTTCTATAATTTATATATTTACTATATACTCACTGATACACGTCTGGGCCGCCTGTGGATTTTATAGTATTGTAAATATTAGAATGCTTTTGAAGAAATCTTTTAGAATAGGTTTAAGGAGACTGTGTGTGTACCACTTTTAAACGATTTCTTCTCAAATTTATTAAAATTGAAACCTTTCAACTGCAACTAGCAAATATTATTTTATGTTTTGCACAGGAACAGACAATAACCCAAGGTTATTGTTATTTGTTAATATATATTGTATGTCAATCGGTGCAGAGGTTCATGCATGTACCGTATCTTGTGTGCTGGGGATTATTAATGTATACCGAGTGCCGGGGTTTATGTACTGTTTAATAAACAAGCAGGAGTGTTTTATTATACATGTTTAAAGACACGAGCGCGCAGCGCGAGTGAGTGGCTTTAGACATAATAAAACACGACCTGCGAGTTAAGTTTATTAAACGGCTTCAAACACGACTACAAATTCAATAGATATACTGCCTATTAGACGTATTCTTTATATAAAGAATACTAATGAGGGCATCACTACAATAGATATTGCCTTATTAGTATTCTTTATATAAAGAATACTAATTAGGAGTGTTTTATCAGGTTTAAAGCCACTGCACATGACATATTATGGTTGACATGATTTGCCAATAAGCTTATGAATTATTAATGAGTGTTTGAAGTACTATTTAAAACATGAGCAGGAGTGTTTTATCAAACACGACAACGAGTATTTTGAATAGCTTAAAATACGACTACAAAAGAATACTAATTAGGATGAACATTATATAATCATACTAATTAGGATGAACAATTATATAATGCCTCATGCTTTATCAGATATAAAGTCACTCCACGTGACATATTATGGCTGACATGATTTGCCACAAGGTTTATGTCTGAATTATTAATGAGTATTTTAATAAATAATGTATATCATTTATTAATCTAAAAGATATGCAGCAGATAAACCAGTTCAATATTGTGTGTTATGCCAAAGTCAAACCTGATTGGAAAGATACAGTAAATAATACAGCAGCCCTGAAAGTACAATAGCAGCACATTTGAAAATCTTCCAAAAGCAGCAACCCGAGAATAGCAGCCCACCTTAAATAGCAACCCTTTGTGGCTGTGTTAGATTAAAAACATTAACCTTCGACAGCGTATTAAACATAATTTGACCAGTGAAATTTTTAGTGAAAAAATGCATAGTTACACAAGTGGATAATTTCCTAGTATGTTTATTTTTGAGAAAGGCAGACGTCCCACCTGTCAAAATAATATTGATATAGTTGTTTGGGTCACTTACAGTATGGTGACCCCTGAAACAATCGAGTGTACTCCCCGAACTATGTTGTAGTTAAATAATAGAAGTTACAAAGATTTATAAATAATAATTATTATTATTATTAAGAGGTTTACTGTAAAAGAGTTTTATTATAATAAAAGAGGTTTTTATACGACGAAATTAATAAACTTTTACAAATACACTGCAGGCATTGTGCCTAAAGGCTAAAATAGTTTTATTTGTCATTAAAACTTTGTCACTCAGATGGCAAACAATTGTTCTGTAAGTGTCACCGTCCAAATACTAAATATTCTTAATGTAAATTTCGCACATACTTAATACAAAAATTCGTAATATACACCAATTTTTCTCTTGAACAGTTTTCTTGTTATTCTTGTCAAGAAAGTCGGCATTTTCTTCAGAATCATTATCTGTAATCATACCTATACATGCAAGTACACTTAAGATAGGCGCGAACAAGAAAACATAAGATAACTGGGAAAAAGCCGTTGTGACCGCTAAATTTAATAATCCACCTCAATGAGCAGATAAAACAAAAAAGTGAGGGGAGGCCGTTACTGGTAAGGATGTTTTACAGTGTATTGTCATTATATTAAACGTGTATTGAATTAATCTGCATGCAGGCAGTGAAACTGTCATTTACCAAGTTACCTGTAGCCAACTTCGAGCAATAGACGCTAAAAAGGCTCTAATGTTTATTGATGAGGGCCAGAGTTTTCCCCCCGCTTAATAATCCCCGTGGGCTACTAAAATCAAGTTCGTAATACAGTCGAAACTCAAATTAACGGACATCAATTAACGTGGAACGAATCAAATGTTTGTTAATGACAGTACATGTACAGTAGATGTGTGGAAATTTCATTAGAATATCTGTTAGAGATTCGACTGTTAATTACCATGATCTTGTTGTACGTCATGAAGAAATGCTCTTCCTTTGAAGACAAGGGGAAGTGAGAGCTTTGATCGACAAATAATTTTGTAAATTTTTTTCCAGGTGCTGATATGCTGTCAAAATTGATTACAAGTGGCGTTACATTACCTTCGGAAATCTCAATTTCTGGCATCATTAAACTGTTCTTCCATCTCATTATTAATGCCTTGAAGGAGAACATCGTCAACCATTTACTTCCTATAACTCGTTCTCTTGTAAATATAACACGGACAGCTATGAAATCAGGTGAAGATAATATTATTAAGGATTCATCAAGATTGTGCAAGCAAATATCAGATCATTTGTGGAATG